CTGAGACACAGGAAAGGCACAGAAGTGAAGTAGGAATAGAGAAGTTCTTAATAAGAAAGTGAAGATTTTAACAGAAAAGGATACACCCCTATGCCCAAAAAGAATGGGGTGGAAATTAGGATGTTGACCAAGCATCTCAGTGAGATAACCTCTCCTGTCTCAGTGCCAGAGGGTCTAGCTGCAATCCCTGGTAACAGTGATTAATGTGTCAGACATTCCCTTTTTTGGCATGTTGGAACCCCCAGCTCATAATATTTACCTATAACATTGCAGATAAACAGACACAAGCCTTTGGATCCAGGGACTGGCGTCTACACCCCGCAAATAGCTGCAGACCTTTCCCCAGTGCCCATGAGAGGACTTCTTTTGGCACATAGAGCCCACCCCCTGTAGCCCTTATGGCCTTCCAACTTTTCTTGTTTAGCTTTGAGAAATCAAGATTTTGCTTCTCTTTAAACAAATACTTGGATTAAATAGGAACACAGTTAACCATATTCAAAAAACATAGATGCTGTAAAACCCACCTTAGTTCAAGCACAGTATAAAGTCACTTTGTCTTCAACTATGACCTTAAGATCATTTTGCTGCATGAACTAACTGAAAATCCAGAGCCCAGAACTGTCCTCGGCAATGACCAGCCTGGACAGTGGAGGCCAGCCCTGTCTGGGTGCTGGCAGCCACACACCAGGCATATCTCCAAGCCTATGCCTCAGCACCCAACGCAGATACTTTGCTTCCAGAACAGTGTGGAAAATTTTCTTGCTTGAAAGTACACAGGTTTTTCTTTTTCCTTTTTTTCTTTTGTTTCTTTTTTCTTTTGCTTTCTTTTTAAAATATCTTCAGCCTTTATTTGTGAATCTGATTGCCATCATTCAACATCTTTATGCTTCTAAAATATAAAATTCATTGATTGTAGTTTCTGAGAGTCCTGTATGTTTTGGAAACTGTAAATGATTAATATATGTTGTTTTCTGTTATTTAAGTTCACACAGTTTCAGCTAAACAACCAATTGAGTGATGGCAGTTATTCTTTCTGAGAATAAAGCCCAGCTTTGGCTCAGGTCTTAATCCCTAAAAGTACATGATTTTAACTCTTAGTTTCCCAGGAAAGCTCTCAGTCGTTTCCGCATCGCTCTAACTGCAGACTGCACCTGGGAGGCTTCCATCCTGGGTTTCCAGAGCTTGTTTGGTGCATGCTCCTTTTCCAACCTGACAACTTCATTAAAGAACATTCTCATTTGTCAACATTTGGCTTTTCGAAGAAGATGCGAAGTTCCCTTTCAGAACCTGCAGCCTTCTATACTGTTGGCTGAACTCCACGGAGAGAGATAACCTATTTACATACTAAAAAGGTCAGTGTTGGACAATCAGCAGTTACAGATGAATTTGCCACTGCTTGCAACTGGAGCATAAGAATCGGGGAGAAGCCGGCAATTTTGCTGTCTCTTTATCTGTGTAGACAGCAAGCATTGGTAGATATGAGGATGTCTGTTCCAATCCACAAGAGCGTTACTGCGTAAGAGAAGCCTGGTGATAGACAGGCTTGCACATGGTTTCGAACCTTTCTGATTATTACCGGGTGTGTGACTGCATAACCATTTAAAGTGCAGGTCAGCCTCACCTACTAAAAGCTGTAATTAATTTGAGGTGGAAATATTTGCATAATAGCTTTTGGGACTCTGTTAGTAAAACACAAAACGTCATAATAGACTTTAAATTATGTGGCTACTGCTTATTTAACCTGCTATTTGTATTACAAAGGGTAGAGTTTTAGAGGGCTTAAAACATTTCCTTTGTGATCTTTTCTTTTCAAAGTCTATAAATATCAGCAGATTTATTTTGTAAAGTGTGTTGAATGTATCTTAAAAGATGTCATTGTAAAGGCATGGGTTTTCTTTGAAAGTTCTATATTGTGTTTGCTCCTAACCATTTATAGATTCAAAGCAAAATAATTATCTTAACTGTAAGGTGTAACATAAGCTCAAAGTCGTTCTCAAAGGTAGAAACTTGAGACCAGGTGGGTTCGCATCCTGGGACGTCCCCGAGAACACAGGTGTGCACGTGTGTGCCCATTATCCGGGCTAGTAGAGACTGGGCATAGATCACAGGATGAAGATCCTATTGAGCTATCTATCTCTGTTTCTGTCTCTGTCTCCGTCTCTGCTTTTCTCTCTCACGGAAGAACTAAGTAAATATATGTTTTTTGTTTTGTTTTAATGTAGAAAACTGGTACTGTTGACAGGTACAAGGCTGAAGTGCAGTGAGATAACAAATCCATTATTATTCCTTGGTAGTAGCAGCCAATCTGGGGCAAGCAAGCAGCCTTTGCTTGTTATGCCTTAGAACCATGGTACGTCTGCTTTGCTCAGCAGAGAGCACCCCACTAAAGGGTGCCTGTGCCGAGAAGTCGCAGCTCAGCTAGGGCTGCTCTCCAGAGGGCCCTGGCAGCCACACAATTGTACTCCAGATGAGGCCATCATGTACTGCTGGGGATGTACAGCAGCAGCTGATGTCACCCAGGTCCTCGTGGGGGCCCTGTGCTACATTTCAGGTTCAGTGTCACCCAGGGAATTTATGAAGCCAGATGTGGACCAGGGTTCATTCTTTTTTAAAGATGTATCAAGCAGCTTCCAGTTAAAAAAAAAAATTCTTTGTTTATATACACATCCCAGATGGCTTAATGTGCCAGTCTGCTTAAAATTCACATTTGGGGTGGCCCATGGTACAGCAGTAAAATGCAGCACTCTGCAAGACTGGCCACTGGCCACCTGGGAAGGTTCCAGGATCACATCCAGAGACCTCCCTAAGTGCACAGGGCACATGTATGCCCATGAACTAGGGCTAGCGGAGGCTGGCGGTGGATCACAGTGTCAAGACCCTGTTGGGGATACTGTCTCTCTGAGTCTCTGTCTCTCTATCTCTCGAGCTCTTAGAATAAATAAATAAACTGTATTTTAAAATATATATTCACATACTGCATGGTTCTCTGATTCCTAACTTAAGAAGAGAAAAGCCAGTGGCAGTGACAAGCTAGCCCTTTATTGGATCACACGGCATCTCACAAAGATTATTTGAACTCGGTTAGCAAACAGCCACAGTCCTCTGGGCCTCCCATAGCATCTGTTTTTCATGACCACTGTTTTAAAGCAGACTGTGGTATAGGCTGTGCTTGGGGACATCTGGCGGATGACCCCCAAACCACCAGAAGACAAGGGTTTGGATGGTGTCTGCACTTCACCTGCCCCAAGTGTCAGGCTGAGCACAAGGATGCTCACCGATCCACAGAGCCTGTGCCTCACTCCCACTGCCCCTCTTGCAGAATTCTCAGTGGAGCAGACGCAGCAGGCACTTCACCAGTCGGTCTTCATGTCATCTCTGTCGGCCCACCCTTTCCGGGACTATGTGGCTACTGCTTTTTTAACCTGCTATTTGTATTACAAAGGGGAAAGGTTTAGAGGGGTTAAAACATTTCCTTTGTGATCTTTTCTTTTCAAAGTCTATAAATATCAGCAGATTTATTTTGTAAAGTGTGTTGAATGTATCTTAAAAGATGTCATTGTAAAGGCATGGGTTTTCTTTGAAAGTTCTATATTGTGTTTGCTCCTAACCATTTATAGATTCAAAGCAAAATAATTATCTTAACTGTAAGGTGTAACATAAGCTCAAAGTCGTTCTCAAAGGTAGAAACTTGAGACCAGGTGGGTTCGCATCCTGGGACGTCCCCGAGAACACAGGTGTGCACGTGTGTGCCCATTATCCGGGCTAGTAGAGACTGGGCATAGATCACAGGATGAAGATCCTATTGAGCTATCTATCTCTGTTTCTGTCTCTGTCTCCGTCTCTGCTTTTCTCTCTCACGGAAGAACTAAGTAAATATATGTTTTTTGTTTTGTTTTAATGTAGAAAACTGGTACTGTTGACAGGTACAAGGCTGAAGTGCAGTGAGATAACAAATCCATTATTATTCCTTGGTAGTAGCAGCCAATCTGGGGCAAGCAAGCAGCCTTTGCTTGTTATGCCTTAGAACCATGGTACGTCTGCTTTGCTCAGCAGAGAGCACCCCACTAAAGGGTGCCTGTGCCGAGAAGTCGCAGCTCAGCTAGGGCTGCTCTCCAGAGGGCCCTGGCAGCCACACAATTGTACTCCAGATGAGGCCATCATGTACTGCTGGGGATGTACAGCAGCAGCTGATGTCACCCAGGTCCTCGTGGGGGCCCTGTGCTACATTTCAGGTTCAGTGTCACCCAGGGAATTTATGAAGCCAGATGTGGACCAGGGTTCATTCTTTTTTAAAGATGTATCAAGCAGCTTCCAGTTAAAAAAAAAAATTCTTTGTTTATATACACATCCCAGATGGCTTAATGTGCCAGTCTGCTTAAAATTCACATTTGGGGTGGCCCATGGTACAGCAGTAAAATGCAGCACTCTGCAAGACTGGCCACTGGCCACCTGGGAAGGTTCCAGGATCACATCCAGAGACCTCCCTAAGTGCACAGGGCACATGTATGCCCATGAACTAGGGCTAGCGGAGGCTGGCGGTGGATCACAGTGTCAAGACCCTGTTGGGGATACTGTCTCTCTGAGTCTCTGTCTCTCTATCTCTCGAGCTCTTAGAATAAATAAATAAACTGTATTTTAAAATATATATTCACATACTGCATGGTTCTCTGATTCCTAACTTAAGAAGAGAAAAGCCAGTGGCAGTGACAAGCTAGCCCTTTATTGGATCACACGGCATCTCACAAAGATTATTTGAACTCGGTTAGCAAACAGCCACAGTCCTCTGGGCCTCCCATAGCATCTGTTTTTCATGACCACTGTTTTAAAGCAGACTGTGGTATAGGCTGTGCTTGGGGACATCTGGCGGATGACCCCCAAACCACCAGAAGACAAGGGTTTGGATGGTGTCTGCACTTCACCTGCCCCAAGTGTCAGGCTGAGCACAAGGATGCTCACCGATCCACAGAGCCTGTGCCTCACTCCCACTGCCCCTCTTGCAGAATTCTCAGTGGAGCAGACGCAGCAGGCACTTCACCAGTCGGTCTTCATGTCATCTCTGTCGGCCCACCCTTTCCGGGACCTTCCCCTGGGCAGGGAACAGCACTGCAAGCTGCTTCCAGGCGTGGCTGACATCCAGGCAAGCCAAGTGGCCCGATGGACAGTGGATGAGGTGAGCAGAGGGGCAAGGGGGGAAGGGGACATGCCCTGCTGCTGAGAAAGAAGCAGAAGGCTCTGACTTTCCATGGCCTTCTGTCAAGGTTTGCTGATGCCTGGGGAAATTCCCTTTTCCTCTTTGGCTTTGCATCTGCACCATAAACTTCGAATCCTAAATTAGAGGAGAAACCAGACGTGATTTTGCAGAAATTAGGAAAGCTCAACACTTGCCCAAGGGGTTTTGCCTCTCCTCTCCCCAACATTATCCCAGCACCCACTGTGCCTCGTCACCATCTGCCCTGGGCTCAAATAAGCAGGGGGCCCTAAGCCTCCAGTTTCTTATCACGGATTTAATTCGGAAAAGCACAGATGTGTAAGCATCTCAGGTTTTTGTCCTAGCTACAGCATCTTCTCTGGGACAGAGCACCCACCCCCAGGACTCTCTGTCCCATGGCATCCACTTAACCGTTGCCACTGGACGCTCTATGGGATCCATCACTGCAGAGCAGGTTCATGCAAAGTCTCCAGATGACCAGATCAAATGTAGGTTTGTTTTTAAAGTATATTCAACCACAGTATTGCGTGAGCTGCTGTACAGCGGGGAGAAAGTGGATCAGATTTTAATATAAACATGCCTTACATTATTGGTTTTTAATAAGGATCAGTTAAGCCCCATTGCTTACTGTAATACTGTAGACATGTTTTATATTTAGAGCAATTTTCTTTCAAGGAATACACATTTTGAGTGAAATTCCTTTTGGTAAAGTTGTTTGCACTAGTGGATCCTTTGATGTTTTTTTTCAAATGAAGGAAGACCCTAGGTCACTCTGAGGACAAGATTAGAGATGAAGCTGGAGTTAAATTAGTCACACAATAAATGTTCAGTGAGCACTTACTGCAATCTACTTAACCTAATCCTGGTTTAAGCTTTCTTTCCAACCTTGGGTAAGGAGCAGGGGGATTGAAGGCTGTGCAGAGCCTGGAGGCTTAGAGCCAAACTGGACCCTCCCTGCCTCCCAGGCACCTCTCTGAGATGATGTGTTTGGCGAATCCCCACCCCTGCGACAGGCATTCCTCAGGCAGCAAAGAGGGTCACATTGTTTCCCCAGCACACCAGGCAGCCTGCCTTTCCTTCCTTCCCTCTGCAGGTTCTCCATGGTCCTGGGGACAGGGTGTTTATTGAACATGCTCAGGTGGCTGGCTGGGTGTTGGGGAGAGCAACAGAAATGTGATCCCACTCCTTAAAGAACACCCAGGGTCTGCCCTTACTCATGAATTATTGCAAGTTTATAAAGTGCATGTCAACTTCACAACCATGCTGATTGAATTAGAATTTATTGTGTCGAAAATCAGATCATGTATGGTTTCCTCCTTGAAACAGTGCACAGAACTGAGAGGTCAGCTGAGAGCTCAATGGCTAGTCATTCAGTCTTTTGTTTTGTTTTGTTTCTTTTTGTTTTTAGTTTTTTTGCCACAGGGTACATGCACTTGCCAGAGAGGGGAAGAGAGAGTAAAAAATCACCCCCCTGAAGGGATGGCCACACCACAATCCCTTCTCCTCCATTCTCTTTTCAGGATTTTGAGCATGCACACGCATGCACACTCATCCAGCATGTTTCCAAAGCCACTAGGTACAGGACTTGAAATCCACAGTCATTCAACCATGGAGGATCCTTACCCTCCATACCACCTGCTACCCCATAATTCATTCTTGAAGAAAGTCTGAGAGTGGCTCCTCTATTGCTTGTTACTGAGCTCTGAGCCCTTCGTGTCATCACTGTCCTGCACAGAGTGATGTTATAGAGAGAGCAGCGGCCGACTATAGCCCCAGCTCCACTTCCTCTTCGCTGTGTGTTGGGCTACATTGACCACACTAAGTCCCCCATCCCTACCCATACAGAACAATTGAGTCCTAGTCTGCATAAATACAGGAGAGGAGGGAGGTAGATGTGTCTCTGCCCAAGTTAAAGCAGTCCCTGGCTCTACACATGTCCTTAGCATGTCATTGGATCTGTGCAATCTGTCCTTGCCTACCCGTCTAGCCTTGCCTTCTACTCCTTCCATACAGTCCTGCCAAACTGGTCTGTAGGATCCATGTGCTGCTCCCACATTTACTACCCACCTGCCAAAAATACCTTCTCCGACTCTGTTGGCTGCCACCACCAGCCAAGGACTCAGCATGTCCTGTCTGACTCCTCACCAGGTGAGGAGAGATCTCTTATCACTCACTTAGTGTGGTGTCTTAAGAATCTCTCATTGTGCCTAGCACTTAATAGTTAGCCAGTAAATGTTTGTTGAACAAATGTTGAATGATAAGAGAATAATTCATGAGCTGAAGTTTTAAACAAAACAAAACAAAAAAAAGCTAAGCAAGGAAAAGAAGGGGAGCCATTCCAGCTGGAGGAGAAATAAAAGGTTACATGGAAGTGAATGTGACATCCCCAAGGATAGCAGATACACAGTGTGTCTTTTGCTAGCATTGATGATAGTGAGCTCTTCAGATTGAGCATTCCTAATCCACAAATCCCAAATCTGAAATACACCGAACTCCAGAACTGTTTGCCACAAGTGGAAAATTCCACACCTGACTTTATGTGACAGCACTGGAAATGTTGCAATACAAAAATATTGTATAAAATTACCTAACGTTTATGTGTACGAGGTGTATATGCAACATAAATTAATTTCCTGTTTAGATTCATGTCCCTTTTCCAAGATAGCTCCTTATATGTATGCAAATATTCCAAACTCTGAAGAAATGCAAAATCCAAACACTTCTGGTCCCAAGCATTTAGATAAGGAATACTCAACCTGTATCAATATAATGATAGTAAGGGAGATATTATTTTCCCATTTTATGGAAGAGGAAATTGAGGTACTCAGAGATTGAGTGATTCCTTTAAGGGTGCACAGTAAGAGCCAGACTCTGAGCTTACTTCTTACCTACCATGCACACTGTAGACCCTGGGATAGAGGAAAGGAACCTGGGCCAGGGAAGATGGGTCAGATGTGAAAGGCCTCAGAGGCCAGGCAAAGGGTGGGTACAGTACCCATTCTGCAGGGCAGAGCAGTTTTAGGTTCTCAGGCAGAAGTCACTTTGTGAAGGTGGTGTTTCAGGAAGATGAAATTGGTCAAGATCTGCAAAAAGAGTAGAAGTGACAAGAAGCTAAGGAGAGGGAGATGACCCGGAGGTCACCAAAGCACTCCCAGCAGGGAATAATCACGATGGAGGCCTGGACTGGCTACTGGCCCAAGAGGAAGAACTAGGAGACAGTAGACAGTTTAAAACCAAAAGCAAAGCACAAGGAAGGAGATTAGATGTACAGGATCGAAGAGTGAAATGAACCAAATGTGATTCCATTTATAGACTTAGCACTACAGCTTAGTAGTTAATTAGGATAATAATATGTGAGCTCTGGAGGCCTGAAGAGTTTCTCTGAAAGAATGGGGAACAGTGGCATTGTCAGAAGTGAAACTTGGGGAAAGAACCAGTCTAGGGGAAGGGAGCCGACATGGTGAATATATCACTGGACATGTGGAATTAGAGGGCCCTGAGAATCACACAAATGGGTGCAGAACTGTGCCAGGGAATGGAAGCTCAAAACAGGTGCCCCTGAAGGGTATAGGCAGAGGGCATTGAGGAGCCCTCCCAAGGTCACAAGCATTCAGAGATGGCCTCTGAGGTCTGAGGACAGGATCATTGGGATCCCAGTTGGAAAGTACCAGGCGGCAGAGGGACTACAAAGGGGAAGAGGAGCCTGGCAGAGTCCCTGGAAGAAAAGCATCCAGTGGGGTGAGGCCTGAGTGTGCCACACAACAGAGCAGATGTCAGGCTTGGGTCCAGGTTCCTGGATAGGTTCATGAAGTTGGGCAGTGGTGGACAACATGTGCGTTTCTTTTCTTTTAGAGGAGGAGGGTCAGAGCTTTTATTAATTTTTCAGAATGTGGGCCAGCCACATTGCCTCCTGATTAATTAATGTAGCCACATCCTACTTGGCCAATTCTGCAACTGGAATCCTGGCCCTGGCAATTGGAAACACACACCAGGTGTGTGTGCATTTGTGCCCCAGATCCCAACAGGATGAAGAAATGGAAGAGAAGAAATTGCAGGATCTCAGTGTGATCATGCCTAATTGAGGGATACTTTCTCCTCCACTCCCCCCTCTCTGTTTCTCTCTGGCAAGCACATACTCCCTCTAGTAATGGGAAAAAAAAAATTCCTAGGAGGAGGAGGACCATAATGTAAAAATTAATGAATAACAACAAAAAAGGGACATTAAGCAGTAAGTAGGAAATTGTTGGGGAGAGGGGTTCTCATTTAGTATGTTTCAGATTTGGCACTGAGAGAAGTGAAAGTAAGAGTTTAGAAGATAATTAAGGAGATATCACTGGTCCCAGTGAAGGTCTCATTAAGATAGAGGAGGTCTCTGGAGGAGGACTCAAGGAACCAAAGATGCTGCAAGAACTGGTAGGAAGATCAGATCCAGTTCTCAAGTTCTCTGCAGTGGGCATACTTGGAATCTCACCTTTTATGGCTGGGAGAGACTTTAGAGCTTTTGTAAATAGATAGGTGATTGATAGATAGATTAGATAGATTGATAGATAGATAGATGATAGATATAGATAGATAGATGATAGATAAATGATTAGAGAGAGATAAATGAAAGATGTAAATAGCGATAAATCAGCTATGAGGAAGGCTAAGAGCCTGGAATTAAGCACTCCTGCTTATAATGCTTCCCGATGCTTCCAAACCAGAACTTCCACTAGGGAATCACCCCCAAGGATATAATTGTCACAACTCCCCAAAGCTTTCTCTTCATTTTGATGGCCCCCTAAAGATGCCCTTGAGGATGAGGACCACATGTAACTTTCTTCCTGTACCTTCACACTATCCCAGCACCAAAATAGGTCCTCAGGAATAATCTGTGATGGATTGAAAACACGGGCTTTGTGGTGGTTCTATTTCTGTCTTTGAAAATAAGGCCACTCTCCGAAGGGAATCTACCTAGGGGG